ATGAGGCCTGAGGAGACAGAGAAGGGCAGAGCAGGAGGTGACAGAATAAATGGGGGATCCTAATGGCCCTGCAGGGCATCTCACATTCCACACTGAATACTGTGATGTTTGAATGAGAAGGGCCACACAGGATCAGAGGTTCAGATACCTCAGTTCTAGTCAATGGAACTGTTTGGGGAGGATCAGGAGGTGTGGCCTTGCTGGAGGAGGTGTGTTGATGAGGAGCAAGTGAGATAGGTTATTAGCTGGTAATTTATTGGGGAGTTATCCTCACAGGAGGAGTCAGTAACCAGATTTGGCACTCTGAGAAGTCTGGTCCCAGATGCTTCCAAAGGCTGGCTGAACCCCGAGAGACAGGGAGCCCGGCTCTTCCTCACCCTTTATGCTACACCCTTCTACATACCTGGGAGCACACCTAGCCAGGTGTGGTCATCGGTACACGTATGGGTTCTCTTCCTACAGTGTGTCACTGAGGCTGGGCATTGAGGTTTTAATAAACTCCCACTATTCTCCATGTCTCTGACACTTGCAGATCAAGATGTGAGCTCTCAGCTGTTCCTGCCCCCACTCCTTTCCTCTGCCAAAATAGACTCAAACACTCTTAAAACTTAAGAACAAATTCATCGCTTCATCTTATATGTTTCTGGGGTCACAGTGTCTTATCACAGCCATAGGAAAGGAACTAAAGCCAGGTGTGGTGACAAAAACGTTTAATCCAATGACATGGGATGCAAATACAGGTGGATCTCTGTGAGTTCAAGGCCAGCCTGGTCTACACAGTAAGTTTCAGGACAGCCAGAGTGAAGAAGCCTGACCTTGTCTCAAACACAAAACAAAAACACCAGGAGAGATCCAAAGCCCAAAACAATTTATCCTCTCCTCATACTTCCTCTTCCTTCTTTTCTGAAGTCAGACCCTGGTTTCTTCTCAAATAAAGTCACTTTCAGGAATACAATGGCAACACTGGTGAGAGATGTTTCTCTTTAAGCAGAGGCTCTGGCTGGCAACCACCACACAGACTCCCATAGACACCAGGCTCCTGTGTCCACCTGCTGGGGTCCCAAACTGCCAAGCCTGATGCTCAGGCATCTCCTCTGTAAACAGAGACTTTGCTCTTCACTCAGGATCCTGTCTTCACAGCCTTGAGCTTACACTCAGACTCCTGGTGTTTCTTCCCAGATGACCATCTGCGGCTCCAGGTGGTTGTGTTTTTACACAGATCTTCATTCCATAGTCCTGAGATTGTCTGTGTGGACCTGGGTCATCGTCTCAGCACAGTGAACCCCTTCTCCACTGGGGAGAGACTAAGTGGAGAACGAAAACAGCAGGACACTGATCCTGTCTACACTCCATGTTTCCTGTGTCACACACTTCCATGGCACAGTTGCTTTAGTGAATAAACACAGTAAGAGAGGAACTGTAACTAACTATAAAGAAGAATAGTGATGTGTGGAATAAAACCAAACTTATAATTCTGTTGTTTCTGTGCATTTTGATTTGTGTCACAAATACAAGCCACACATAACTGAAGTAGAAAGTGAAAGCAGAGGGGAGTAGGGACTGCTTCCTGCACGGAGAGTCACATATGACACAGTGTGTCAGAAGGACTTGACCAGAGCTGTAAAACTCCAGTCACCTCCATGCAGTGTCCACGGCGGCCCCACGCACTCACCGGGACTGTGACAGCATCTGTTTCCGTGAACATTCATTTTAAGTTTGCGTGTATTTTACCGGAATCCTCAAGCTCTCAGGTTTCATCCTGACGAACCTGACCAGCATTGGCCTTGGGCGGCTCAGGGACACCGGGACAAACCGCGCTGTGTCCGCAGCACAGGGTCAGACAAAGTCTTAGTCCCAGGCGGTGAGGTCCGGGGTGGGGACGCCCAGCGCGGGGATCCCCTGTCCCCAGTTTCACTTCTCCAGCTCCTGACCTGTGTCAGCTCCTTCTGCCCGGACACTGATGACGACACCTGGGCGGTGCTCACCCCATTGGGTGTCAGGATCCCGAGGAACCAATCAGCGTCCGCGGGCACCGGGTATAAAGTCCTCAGACCGCGGAACCCGGACGCTCAGATCCGAGATGGGGGCGGTGGCGCCGCGCACGCTGCTCCTGCTGCTGGCGGCCGCCCTGGCCCCGACCCAGACCCGCGCGGGTGAGAGCGGGGTCGGGAGGGAAATGGGCTCTGCGGGGAGGGCGGGGGCGGCACCGGGGAAGCCGCGTCCCCGCATCGCCCAGCCGGACCCTCCCGCCCCGTCCCCACCCGCGTCCCGAGCCCCGCGCCCTGCTCCCCTCCCGGCCCCCGCGC